CTCTCTCTCTCTCTCTCTCTCTCTCTCTCTCTCTCTCTCTCTCTCCCTTCCCCTTCCCTTCCCCCATCATACTAAACAAAATCAAGGAATATCTTTCTCAGGTTTTCCTCCAGTCTCTGGACTACATCACTGCATCCCCAAGTTCTCCTTAACAGTGCATTCTTTCTACCCAATTTTAATAGTCTTCCATACCTTCCTGAAGGAAATATCTTTAAGGTCTACGTGTCTTGTAATGAAGATGGCCACCAGCACTGTTTTCCTAGGAATAGCTTCAACTGGTAAGTCATGAGTCTAGAACAGGGGTGTCAAACCCATGTTGTAACGGCATTGTCAAGTGACATATTGTGACTTCCCCCCTTCGCTAAACCAGGCATGGGCGTGGCCAGAGCGTGAAGCATCTGGACCCTCCCTCCCTCTCTTTCTATATGTGTGTGTGTGTATGTATGTATATGTATTTATGTATATAAATGGCTGTGTGTGTGTGTATTGGTCCAGCATAACTCTGGAACGCCTCAAACAATTTCAACCAAACTTGGTACACAGATGATTTTCTCTTTGGAAACTAATACTGTGGGGGTAAGACACCCCGACACCCCCCCCTCAGGGTGTGCATTCTGTTAAGATACAGCCTGTTGTGCCTTCAAATGGCTTCTAACGTACTGCCATAAAATGGTTTCTACTGTATAGCGTATTGGAGTTGCCATAGTAACGGCTTCACAGTACTCCACAAAGGGAGTCCCTCTGGTAAGAGGAAAAATCCAACATTAAAAATTACGTTTGGTGTGGACATTTTCCCTCTATAAATAAATACCCAGACAACGCCGGGTTATCAACTAGTATTAGACCAGTTAAGGGAAATGATTGAACTCTATACACTCCTTCCTGAACCACCCAAGAGGCAAAATCTCTCCGCTATGCACTAGAATGATCCACTTAGAGAGTCCCAAGTATAGCTCGAAATCTAGTTAGATGAGATATTCAGTTCCAGCTCTCTGACTTTATCAATTTACATAGGCAAAGGGAGCAATGAAATCAGAACAAATACACAACATGCATGAAATGTATGCATAAGCTCATTTATAGAAACTGCAATTCAATATGTAGCCAAGGTCTAAAAAAAATAACTTAAAACTTATTTTTCAGATGAAGGATCTTACTCTTCTACTGGAGAGATGATCGTCTCTGACCATGTTTTCAGAGGTGCGTGGAAGACTTGGTATTTGTCTTGCTTCTTCCCTTTTAACAGTCTGTCTCCGCACAGTGTGTCTAAAAAAATACAACATTGATTTGATTTCATGCACTGGAATGTGTCCCAGAGATGGAAGGTGAATTTGCCAATAGAAAAGTCCTCAGTGTTTAACATTTGCAGCTAATGATTCAAATGCCTTTAATTACTGGGAAAGATAACGTAAAACATGCATGGATATATTAATTGAATGTTGTATTTTTTTA